CACCCCAAGCGGAGTCGTCATCCTCATCATCAGCAGCATCATCAGCAGCAGCAGCACCATCATCATCACCATCAGCAGCATCATCGTCGTCACCATCATCATCACCGTCATCATCAGCATCACCAGCATCGTCGTCGTCATCTGAATCAGCATCAGTATCACAATCACTATATAAAGCATATACAGTAACAACGACAATCACATAAGTATACGGGCACGCATAATAAGAACCACCATCAACAAAAGCACCATCCCCACCATCGTCATCACTATCGTCAAATTCACCACCATCCCTATCCCCATCACCATCATGATCATCACCAATCAACATCGCCAGCATCGCCGCGATCCAGGTCATCATCGTCACCACCATCACTACCACCATCACCACCATCATCACTACCCCAACCATTATCAGCAGCAGCATCAGCGCATGCACGTTCATCGTCATCATTATCACGAGCAACATCATCAGGATCATCAACGGCATCATTATCTGCATCAGCATCATCATCACCGTCATCATTATCATCAGCATCATCATAATCACGATCAACATCGTCAACAACATCAACATCAGCATCGGTATCACAATCATCAGCATCATCCTCACCATCATCAACATAATCACCACCAGCATTACCATCATCACCGTCATCACGATCATCAAGAACAGCAGCACCTTTGACAGCATCATTATCACCCTTCCCAATATTGAGCTTTCTTCACTCTCCTCCACCGCCTCCTCATCATCACCAACAACAGCAAGAGCAACGGCAACAACACCAACAATAACAACAGCACCAGCAACAACAACAGCAGCAACAACAGCATCAGCAACAACAATAACAACAGCAACAGCAACAGCAACAACAACAACAACAACAGCAGCAACGGCAACAACAACATCAACAACAACACTAACAACAACAACAACAACAACAACAACAACAACAACAACAACAACAACAACAAACATGTTAAGACTGTTCGCCCTTATCTGCTCGAGTGTCCAATAACGCGTATGTCCCAAACCCTCGATACCCGCCCTCTTCGTCTTCGATCGAACCCCTTTTGGTGGGTACACCTTTCTTCCCTGCAGGCCGGGCCCCGGCAAGCGGCGGGGCGGCCGCGGACCGTCGGCCTGGCCAGCGGCAGCGCTGATCGGCGGGGCGGCCGCGGACCGTCGACCCGACCCCAAGAGGGACGGACAGGGGACCGACCACGACGACGACGACTACGTCGACGACGACGGCGACGACGTCGACGATGACGGCGACGAGCGAAATCGAGAACGAAAGAGAACGACAGCAGGGCCACAAGGACACGAAGTAGACCACGAAGGGCAACAGCGAGGACACGAAGGGAATGCGTATGGGGCCACGAAGAGAGCGAACGAGCGGGGGCCACGAAGGGCAGATAATGCGGGGCCACAAAAGGCAACGATGGGGCCACTGAGGGTAGCAACTGGGCCACGTAGGACATATGTATATGGGGCCACCATGGGCGCGAACGAGCGGGTGCCACGAAGGGCATACATATCTGGGGCCACGAAGGGCCGCGAGGGGGCCACGAAGGGATGCAACGGGGCCACGAAGGGCAGCGAGGGGGCCACGAAGGGCTGCAACGGGGTCACGAAGGGCTGCGACGGGCCCAGAAAGTGCAGCGAGGGGGCCACGAAGGGCTGCAACGGGGCCACGAAACAAAGCGAGGGGGCCACGAAGGACTGCAACGGGGCCACGAAGGGCAGCGAGGAGGCCACGAGGGGCTGCAACGGGGCCACGAAACAAAACGAGGGGGTCACGAAGGGCTGCAACGGGGCCACGAAGGGCAGCGAGGAGGCCACGAGGGGCTGCAACGGGGCCACCAAGGGCAGCGAGGGGGCCACCAAATGCACATAATGCGGGGCCACAGAAGGCAATTATGGGGCCACTGAGGGTAGCAACTGGGCCACGTAGGACAGTGAGGGGGACACAAATGGCGACAGCGGGGCCACGAAGGGCATGCACATGGGGCCACAACGGGCGCGACTCCTGGGTGCCTGTGTGTCGGGAGCGCGGCGCTTGGGCAAATTGAAAGAAATTCCAACGCAAGGCCATTCTTCAGTAAGTTGCAAGCAAGTCTCCAGCGAGAGCGCGACTCCAGAGCGCCGGGAGAGCGATTCCTGAATAAATTGTAAGGAAGTCCCAAGCGAGAGCGCGATTCCTGAAAGAAATGCGAGGAAGCCTCGGGCGGGAGCGGGGGTCCTGGCTAGATTGTAAGAAGTCTCAGGCGGGAGCCGTTTTTGTTGTAAACCGGGGGCCAGGGGCCCAGTTTGAGCATCAAGACTTTCCCTATCAAAAAACAGGATGCGAGCGTCGAGGGGCACACTTTGATTGAGAAAAAACAGTATGCACCGGTGGGGGGGATCATCAATAATTATTCTTCTGAAATGAAAACTCAAGATCAACAACAACAGCAACAGCATCATCAACAGCATCATCACCACCCCACCCCAGTCCAGGACCGGGTACGCGTGGTTGGCCACCAGGCCCGTCGACGGGCTCACGCCCTCGGTGTAGCCCCGCCGCCGCGCCTGACGGCCCCGAGCCAAGCGGGCCCCGCTCCCGCCCCCCACCCCACCCCTGGCCTCCCTCGGGGGGGGGGCCTTCTCTCCTCCTCCTCCTCCTCCTCCTCCTCCTCCTCCTCCTCCTCCTCCTCCTCCTCGTCCTCCTCCTCCTCCTCCTCCTCCTCCTCCTCCTCCTCCTCCTCCTCCTCCTCCTCCTGCAAATGTCACGCCGTCTTCGGCACCGAGGGGGGGCCGCCCGCACCTGCGGCCCTCGCGAGATCGGCTCGCGAAAGAAAAAAAAAAAAAAGCTGATCGTCCCGGGGAAGGGGCCGTGATCTCCTTGATTACGTACCAGACCACCCCAACCCAACCCGAAGACCCGAATTTCGGGTTGGGGGGGGTAAGGGCTCTACACCTGTTTTTTCGATGTTTCCCGACACCCCCCCCACTGGAAATCGAGGGTAAATCTGAGCCTTCGGGTTGGGTTGGGGTGGTTTGGTGGGTGGTGACAGACGCCGGGCGTCCGGGGGAGGATAGAGGAGAAAGAACTACCGATCCTGGGTCCAGGATGGGCCTTGCCAGGATCGGTGCATATTATGCAGAGTTCTCTTCGCCCGAGAGGAAGGAGGGGGTGCCTGCGCGCGCGCACGCAGCCCGACACCACATCGGCACGGGTGGGCGTATAGGAGTCCCAGGGCGCGATCCGGCTCTCCCTCCCAGCACTCTCCCGCACGCAGCCCCCCTTTCAGGACGGCCTGTTTTTCACCACTCACCACCGCCACCATAAGTTGGAGGGGGGAGGAGGAGGAGGAGGAGGAGGAGGAGGAGGAGGAGGAGGAGGAGGAGGAGGAGGAGGAGGAGGAGGAGGAGGAGGAGGAGGAGGAGGGGAGGAGGTGGAGGAGGAGGAGGAGGAGGAGGGGGAGGAGGAGGAATAAGAAGGAGAAGAAGAAGAAGAAGAGAGGGAGGAGGACCCCCTCCCCCTTCCAACCCATGGTGGTCTTGGTGGAGAACAGGCCCATCACTTTCGGAGGGTGGAGCGGCCCGTGCCACGAGCGGTCCCCGGCGGAGCGCCGGCGGAGAGAGGCTCGCCGCGCCGCGGCCGACGGCTCCCGGCTGCGCCATGGCAGTGCGCGCGCTGGCGGGGCCCCTCCTCCTCCTCCTCCTCCTCCTCCTCCTCCTCCTCCTCCTCCTCCTCCTCCGGCTGCTAAATCCGTGGCTGCTAAAATCGACCTCCGGGGAATTGTCTTCGTCCTTCCGGGCAGAAACCCGCTGACTGTTTCGCGTGCCGCGCCTCCTTCCGGGAAGTTATGTTTTTTCCTTCCGGGAGGGCCGCTGTAGCAGCCACGGTTTTGGCAGCCCTCGCCCAGCTTTCGAATGGTGCCGGAGGGAGACAGAGAGAGAGAGAGAGTGCCTCTGAGTAGGGGTTCGTCGAATGTCAGCATCGCACGTTTCATGTATTCGACGAACAAATAAGTTTGGGGGTAAATCGATTATGTAGTCGATCCCCTATTCAAAGAATGCAATCGAAGCAGCGCGTCGCGCCATGCATGGTGGCGCAACTACGTCCGGAAGACGTCTCGCTTCTCGATCCGTGGCGCCTCGCTGAGCTTTTCGTCGACGTTGGCGGGCAAGCCCAAACGGGAGTCTCGCTCCGAAACGAAGCGGTGTCTCTCGCGGCGCGACGTCCACGCCGGCGGAAGCGGCAGCTCGAGAGGCTGGGTCTGGCTCCAAAGGCTGGGTGGTGTCTGGGGATCTGCGAGTGCGCGCGCGCCCGCACCCCACCCATCAAGCTGCTTTTCCTGATTCTGTCCATCCTATGCCTCGCGCTCATCTGTTCTCCTCCTCTTCCTCATCCTCCGCCTCCTCCTCCTCCTCCCATCCTCTTCCCCCGCCTTCCACCCATCCTTTTACTCTGCCTGTTCATGCTCCTGCACCTGACGTCCCTCTCCTCATCCTGCGTACTTCTACATACTGATACGAGTCAACCTTATCCGCCCATTTGCTCATGCAGAGTATTTTGGCTTTTAGTGGTCATGCTCCTCATATGCCTCTTACTGTTACGGGTAAAAACCCACCAGCCCTCTGGGTGTAGGTGGTCTAGAGCGGTTTCTCTTCCAACCCCTCCCTCTTCCCCTTCGGGGAGAAGTTTATCACGGTTCCCTATGAATAAACACCCCCTCCCCCACCCGGCCGGCGGCCAAAGGAACAATGCCACCGCCCCCACCATCCCTGTCAAAAAATACTCAAACACACATGCGCGGCCGCCCCGCGACCACTTTGTACTGATATCTTAGAAGGACGGTCGGGGTGCCGGCAGATCCCACCTGCCTTCTGGCCGCGGGTGGTCATCCAGGATGGTCCCAAGAGTCTCTCCTGGGCATCCGGGAGGCCCTCAAGAATGCCCCAAACCCGAAGACCCACCAAGAGAGGCCCAAGAGGACCCGAATACCTCCCAACACCACCGCAACATGCCCCGAAGAGGGCCCCGAGGGAACACCAGCAGCACCGGCACCAGCAACAGCAGCAGTAGCACCAGCAGCCCTGGCAACAGCAGCGGGACTACGAGGTTCCCGTCGGGACCTTTGCATTGGTCTCTGACAGAGAGTCTTCGGGGGTTCAACCCTTTGCGCCCCGGGGTGCATTGCACGCCCCGAATGTGTTGCAACCCCACTCGTCTATTGCACCACACCCATTGCACCATCCCCTTGCCGCCGGACCCCCGTTTTGGGTCAACCCGAATTCTCCCCCCTCCCCTCCCCCTCCCCTGGGGCTGGGGAAAATGAGAGATACACCGATACTGCTGCTCCCCCGACCTCGTCCTGGGTGTGCGTTCTGACCAGGCGCTTGAGGCAAATGCAGCCGCAGCGACGAGGGGACGGCAGCGGCATCGGCATCTCTTCCTCCTCTGAACCTGCGCGCTCCCCTTAGGTCAGACATGTCCTCCTGCAGGCGGATTCTGGATGAAATAAAATAATCAACTAAAAAATCAAAATTGACAAACATGCATTTGAAAAATCGTCCCAAAATCATTGTGCGACTATTTTCGGTTATTCCTCCTGTAGAGGGACACGCCCGACTCAACGCTCCCCCCGCCTCACAGCCCCCCCTCCCTCGCGCCCGAAGCGGCGCACCCGCCGCCGCCAGCGGCGCCAAAACTCGGACGCGAATTCATGGGGGGGGCGATACAGGGGGGGCGGGGGGGAAGGTGCCTTTCTTGGAGCCCAAAGGCACCCTCTGGGGCCCCAACGAAGCCCTTTAGGGGCCCTGGAGGGCCCCCCTTTCTGCAGCCCGCGCTGCCCCCCCCCCCCTTGATCGCCCGCCCCTTACGCGCCCCCTTCGGGGGCGTCCAAGAGGGGGGCGTCCAAGAAAGAGATGCGCCAACCATGGCCGGCGGCATGTGCGCGGCCCAGAGGGGCGCCAGGGACATGTCGAGACAAGAGGAAGCGCCATATCAAATCTGGGGAGATACCATGGCCCCCGCCGTGATGTCCGCCCCCAATGGCCATCACCCCCCCCTCTGCCGCCCTCGAAAGACCGGACGGGGGAGGGGCCGCCGGGGAAAGTGAGAAGGGGCGGGCCTCCTCAGAAGGCTCGGAAATTCCCTGGCCTTCTGAAAAGTTTCCTGGGCCTTCCCCGAAGATGAAGGGCCCCCAGGACACACAAATAAATACACACAAATAAAAAGATGCCCCATATTTTCACATATTTTCTGGGTTTTTGTCTCCCCCCCCACTTCCCATATTTTCCTATATTTTCTGGGGAATCGAGGATTAATTGTGTCTGTTTTTTTTCCCTCCTGAGAAGACGCCGAAACACCTTCAGCCTTCTCAGGGAGGCCGGGAGGCTCCCGAGAGGCTCCGCCGCCTGCCAAGAGGGCCTTCTGAGGAGGCCCTCTCCTTCCCACTTTCCCCCCCCCCCGGTGCTCGCCGCCGAGATTTATCGCCCCCCCCCCCCCTCTCGGGAGCGGCCAAGAGGGGGGTGTCCAAGAGGGGGGGGGTGCAAATCGTCGCCGGCGGCACGTGCGCGGCCCAGCGGGGGGGCCAGGGACGTAATGGAGTAAGAAGAGGCGCCCTGAAATCTGAGGAACTATCACGGCCCCCGCCATGAGATCCACCCCCCCCCCACAGTCACCACCTTCCTCTTTGCCGCCCCCGAGCCTCCTCGCCGCCCCCGGAACAAAAAAAACGCACGGGGGCGAGGGCCGCCGGGCCTCCTCGTGCCCGACGGCGTCCGCGAGGCGGGTGGTGCCGACGCACACCACGCAGTCGCCCGCCCGCCAGCCTGCGAGCGGCCGCCGGGGGGGGGAGGGGCGCCCGCGCAGGCCGCGGGGCCGGCGGCGGGCGGGCGGCGGCGGCGCGCATCGCAGCAGCAAACAGCCAGAGGTGCCCCACGCCGACGCCGGCGGCGCTCGCGACGAGGGCGCCGACGGCGACGGCGACGGCGACGCCGACGACGGCGGCGCACGATGCCAACGGCGGCGGCGGCGGCGGCGGCCGCGGAAGGTGGCGGCCACGGCGGCCACGGCACCGAGAGGGGCGACGGGAGCGACGAGGCGAGGGGATCCTCCCCATGGACACGAACATATCGTAGACACATCTTGTAGTATATCGTTTCCCGCGCAGTGTGGCCAGAAAGCGCCCGCCACGACACAGAACTACAAGGCTTCTCGGTGCGCGCACCTAGTATGTTGGGGTGACGCCGATCCTGACCCTTCTCATGCTTCTCATGCCCCTTCGCCCTCTGTGTCATACCTTCCCCTATCCTCCTCCCTCCGCCCATCTCGCGCGGGGGGAGGAGAGAAGGAAGAGGAGGCAGAGGAGGAGGGTTAAGGCGAAAAGGAGGCGAAGGCTTCCTCCTTCTGCTCACTCCATCCTCCTCGTCGCCACTTGTGGATACGCCTCGAAGTCCTGATCAGGGCGGGCTCCAGGAGAGGTCCACGTGCCTAAGTCGAGGAGAAGATAGTTAGGAGAGAGGAGAAGTGGAGGTATATGGTGGTTACGTGATTGTATGGCCCAATCTTGATCAATAGCCTGAGGGCTTCAGACGGGACCAAAGGGAGCAGGTTCCCTCAGTATTTTCGTGACGTCGACGGCCTCCAGTGCTTACATTGGTAGACGTACTGTGCTATCCACGTGGCGCATGCGGTCTCCAGAACAGACGCAAGGAATCATACGGCTGCGAAAACGAAGCTTGGCCGTCGTCCAGCGAGCAGTTTGCATTTGTGTGGTATCCAAACATCGACTGTGACATGCCCGAAATGACCCAACCAAACGGCGTTAACATGCAACCGCCTTAAAAGATTGGTCAAGTCCGGCCGACTACGACGTCACCCAAACCGTGCGTGCGCAAAGAGACGGTGCAATGGCGAGCACTCGCAGACATCCCAATGCCAGAACAACCACCACAAGACGGAGATCTGGACGTTGAGGCGGGGCCGATCACACCAGAAGAGACAGGACAGGCATTGAAACACCTTCGTATGCGGCGAGCTGCTGGCACCGATGGAGTGCCACCAGAACTGTGGGAACCACTACTGGATAATACGACCGCGGTGGGCATATTGACATCGTTACGCAATGCGCGCTGGGAGAACAAAGACACCCCCGGAGAATGGAGAGGAGCATCTGCTGCAACAGTGTTAAAAAGGGAGACGCATCGCAGCCTTCCCTATCATCGGCTCATTTCTTTGCTCACAGTGGGCTGCAAACTATCTGCCCGCCGTCAACAAAAAAACGACTCAAACATGGATGGGGCCGAAGAAACACTGAGGGAATCTCAATATGGTCTCCGGTCCCGCCGTGGCACGAAAGAAGCGTTATTCCTAGTGAACCGGCTGGTCGACGCTACATTCGAGGACAAGGATGGCAAATTGTTGCTCCTACTTCTGCATTGGAGCAAGACTTTCGACCGCATCAGCCCCAAAGGGCTTGTGAACGCACTACAGCAATCCCGCGCCGAACGTCGATGGTCGAACAAAGTACACAAATTCGTCGTCCAAGACGCAGACACGACGTGATCGCATAGAGCACAGCCTGATGGAATCGCATAAGGGTGCCGCCTTTCGACACACTCGTTTATGATAGCTATGTCAATCGCATTAGGAACTGTAGACAAACGCTTGGCAGTGGAAAAACCAAACAGAGATACCCAACCATACAAGGTCACTGAAGACGTGCTGTACGCAGACGACACCATGCTGGTCTCCAGAGGCCCTTCGGGCGTGGGCAGAACTGGGTTTAGTGGGACCTGGTTTAGTGATGTGTACTCAGGGACGCCCCCCCGCCCCGTTCCACTAACCCGAACTGCCGTCACCCGAAAAAACAACAACTACGGCAGACCTAGTCTAATGATTCTAGCCTGTTTAAAGGCTCTGGGGCCCTACTACTGACCAGGTACCCTTACCTGGGGTCCTGGCTATACCCGAACCCTGACGTGCTCCAAGCACGATTCAACTTGGCGGTTGCAGTTGGAACAATATACCGCCTGGAATTCAGATCTTGGAAAACCAGGTTATTGCTAATAAGAGCAAGCGCAATTATTGTGGGACCTGATGGTGAACCAACAACATGCAAAATGAATGCAGTATGTCTGGGGGGCCTGTTCAGCATCGACGGGAACCCTCGCGCGGAGCTCACACGAAGACTTTGTGAAGCCAAAGGCGTATTTCAAAGATTCTGCTCGGCTTGGAACCACACCACTTTGAGCAAAATCCGGACGCATCGTATATTGAGGGCGTTCATTTTCTCTAGACCTTTACATGGGCTGGGACCGCGCATGCTCTTGGAAGTGGACAGAGACAGACTCGATGGATAACAGGCAGGGTGTCTACAGAAAATGCGCAAGATCTTGCCGGCATTCGTATCCAAAGTGAGCAATGCACAAGATAGCGAACTCGCCAACACTGGACCGTTATCAATATTTTTTTGATAAGGCAGCTGGTATACTTGCCATGGACGCTCCATGGAGCCTTCCCAAAGCAACGGTTTTCGAAAATTGCCAGTCTGACCAGGTGGCATCGCGGAAATAGAATTCTCGACGCTCGCGAGGGCAGCCTCGATTACAGTGGACGTCCTACTTACACCCGCAAGCCTTGGCCGTAGCAGGAGGCGACCGCGACAAGCTGCAAACCATACTGCAAAATCCGTCTGAGTGGCATTCGGCTTTGGCGCAACACTGCTCAGTCTAGTCACGCTCTCCCCTTCTTCGTTCCCCTCCCTCCCCTCTCCTCCTCCCTGGCCGGTGCTTTGCCGTCCACCCGCATGCCTGTGCACTGCAATCCGAGGCCCGGCGATGCCTAGGCGCTTGCACGCTTGAGCCCGGCATTTTTCCTGTTCGCATGGGCTATCACGTAGTTTGTCCATGCGCTGTCGAGGCGCGGTTTCTTTCGGTCGTTCGTTCGTTCGTTCGTTTGTACCGCGCTATGACGCCTATACCGTTCGTGCGGCCAAGCGCCCTTGAAGTCAATCATATTTCAATGTGGGGATCTACTCGCATCTGGCCAACGTAGAGGAACACCTTGCACGCACCCCGAAGACCACTTAGAAATTGCATTCCTTGTCAATTGTCTGCCTTTGCGTACTATTGTCCGAACCGTGTTGCGAAGTCGTTTCGAATGGTTATTGGAAGCACGTATGAGCACACATGATCAGATGGCCCCCATGAGGATTCACCAACGCGGGAAGTCCGAACTCGAAAAGCTCTTCGCATCACCCGCGCAAGCAACCGCAAGGTTTGGAAGTTGAGGGCGATTTCGGGCGGTTGGTTTTCCTTCTGACTCCGATTACGCCCCTCCACGCTGCTCATCGCGGTCATCGTCCCCATCGCCAACCACCTTCCTCACTGATGTTGCTGCTCCTTCTCCTCCTCCTCCTCCTCCTCCTCCTCCTCCTCTTCCTCCTCCTCCTCATCCTCCTACTCCTCCTGGTCTTCCAGTTCCTCCCTCCCTTCGCGACACTTACCAAATTTCCCCAGTTAATCTCCGAACTTCCACCCCATCCTCCTCCTCCTCCTCATCTTCCTCCCCCTCGTTATCATCATCCTCATCCTCATCCCTCCAGCTCTTTACTCCACCCACTCATCCCTACAGCGACCCACTCCTCACTCACGCCCCTTGCCCACCCTCCCTCACCCGTCCAGCATGAAGGTGCAAACCAAACCTGTTTGGCTGATGTTTTTGGGGGGCGGGCCGTGTTCAGGGGAGGCTGCAGCACCGCCCATCCATTTGACTTGCAACCAAACACGCTGGGTCGGCCCTTTCCATCTTTTTGTGCACTTCAACTTCGGATTCAGCTGCGGGTGCACCGTGACGCGCCCTCGGGCCAGCTCAACCGAAGAATTCTTCCGATGGAACGGATGCCCCTCCCCCCTAGAGTCGGCTCCCCGTCCCAAAATAATACTCAAGGCGGAGATCCCCATGTGTGCAATGTATAGTCCTGTGAGAGCGAAGCCTCGTAGACGAGACGCGCTGCAATGAGGATGACCACGGCGACAACTTCAGTGACGCCGTCCTCCTCCTCTGGGCATATTTGAAGAGAGACGGCGGTATCACAACTGGAAGAACGAGGGGGAATTCCCCGTTGCAGTTTACCCCGCGGCAGCTCAATCAAGCGCGCATGGCGTGGCTACGCCCGCGCTCTGGCGTGCTGCCCGCGGCGCCTGGTGGCATCTCTGAAGCGCACAAGTGTCATGCCAGCTGTTTCGCGATAGCCATGCGTGTGAGCTGTAGCGCGACTGATCGTGGATGACCTGACAGCGAGCGCGTCGGAGTGTGAGTGGTCTGGGTATGATCTGTAAATGTTCAGTGGGAGCACGACTGGGCCCGAGTATGAGCGAATCTGAGTGAGAGCGGGTCCCAGTGCAAGTAGGTCTCAGTGTGGGTGGGTTTGAGTGTGGGTAAGTCTGAGTTTGTCTGTGACGAAGAGGAATCTGAATATGAGCGAGCCTGGGTGCGAGGTAGTCTGAGTATGAGCGGGTATGAAGGCTGGTGGGTCTGAGTGTGAGTGAGTTTGAATGTGAGTTGGTCTGAATGTGGGTCATGTCTAAAAACTGTCAAAACAAATACTGTGGGGAGACGGTTAAACAAATTGTTTTCCCCATTGCTGTAGTGCGCCTATAGAAAACAACAGGGCGGCGGGGCAAACTGGATCGCTGGAGACGTCCCCGCGACCGCCCTGGCGCCCTGCGTGCAGGGGCAAATTCCTGCGCACCCCATCTTGGCGTCAGGCCACGCCTGCCACGCCCTGCGACCCCAGCGTGGATAGAGACTGCGCTCAGGGACCACT